CTCCCTCTCACACATTTCTCACTAAATATAATCACTCTCCCTCTCTCTCTCTCTCTTTATGACACATTATTCCCCCAGGCCTGGGATTAACACATACCTCTCATATGAGGTTTACATGCAAATTTGACGAACGCCACTCGATGCGTTTATGTGGTGTGTTTTGCTTGTGCTGTTATGTTTCAATAAGACATGCTTTCTTCTTTGATCCCCCATACCTTAAACAAATTGAGAGCGCATGTGCCAAGAGCTTGGGAATTTTCTGTTTTTTTTTTCTTTTCTTCTACTTGCATAACTTCTTAAATGAGCGTGACTATGGGGCTGTGCCAGATAAGTTTTATGGTTTTGGACATATTCATCATTTTATGATAAATGTTATAGGATTTTTTCCTATTTTAATATGAGAAAATGGGGGAGCCATTTGTTTTATTTTCAAACAATATGAAGCATTTACCCATGGGAGAAAAAAATATCCTTATTTGGTTTGTTATTTGTGGGTGAGTTGATGGCAAGGAGGGGGGACAAAGGACGTCTGGAGAAGATTGTGTTGAAGCCATGCCAAACGTGAGAGGTGAAAAAGGTGATCATGAGAATTTTTTTTTGGGAAAAATATTCTAATTGAAATGTCATCAAAGAATACTAAATGAAATGAAGGCAGCCACCCAATTGGAAAATATTAATTTGTATTAAAAATAAACTCTAGAAATAGATCGTGGGAAACTTTATTTTGGGAGGAAAATTACTTATGAATATTGCGAGAATCTAGAGAATAGAGACATTGCTTGGTAGTTATATAGCTTTTAACCCGAAATATAAATCGTAATTTAACGTGATTTTTGTGAAAATTTTGATCCTTTGTGGGTGAGGTACCAGACCGATATATCCCATCTTCACAGCAGATCTTGGGTTCGTAGAAATAATGGGATGTGGGTAATTGGAAGAGAAACGGAGGTACCAGACCGATATATTTCATCTTCACATCAGATCTTGTGTTAGTAAAAATAATGGGATGTGTGAAATATGAAGAGAACCGGATGCTTATTTCGGATTTTATAATCGTTTTGGTTATTCAAAGCTTTGACCCTTTGTGGGGAGGTACCAGAAGAAATGGCCCGATCTCTACCATTTCTACAACAGATCTTGTGTTGATGAAAATAATGAGATGTGCCAAGTCTATATGGAATCGGCTAGCAATTTTGTGATTTATGACCCTCATGGATATTCAAAATGTTGAGCCTTTGTGGGGTAGGTACCAGAAGGAGTGGTCCGATATATCCCATCTTCACAGCAGATCTTGTGTTATTGGAAATAATGGAATATATGCAATATGAAGAGAACGGGAAGCTTATATCGGATTTTATAATCGCTTTGGTTATTCAAAGCTTTGACCCTTTGTGGGGGAGGTACCACAGGCAGTGCTCCGATCTCTGCCATCTTTACAACAGATCTTGTGTTGATGGAAATAACGAGATGTGCCAAGTCTGAATGAAATCGCCCCGCAATTTTGTGATTTTTTACCCTCATGTGTATTTGTTTGATGGAGTGGACCAACATTGTCCATCTTCGCACCTGACCTAGCACTGATATAAATATTAGGATTTGCAAAGTTGGAGCAAAATCGAATCATCCTTTCTCTTTCTGTGCAGTAAAATATCTTCTTTGAAAAGTTCGATCATTTGTGGGGGAGATATCAGAAATTTAAGTCTCGATCTAAGGACGGACATCGCTAGATTGACTAAAAATGTCCTGAAACGTATTTGGTACAGAGACCTAGGATTTAAAATCGTTTTTTTTTTTCGGTGAGGCACGTTTTGACCGTTTCAATATATACCCTCTCTAGACATTTTTCTGAAGCTATAATAAAAATTACTAGAATTTTCAGGTGTCACAAAATACTTTACACAAATCACATTTTTCATTATTTTTTTCCGAAAATCGTCGAAACTGAAGTTTCGTATAGCTCCCTTTTATATTTTTCCAAAACTTTTATCGAAAATTGTCGTTGTATCGATAAAAATAGGGTGCAAATCAAAGGAAGGAAGTAAAATTGTTGAAAATATGTATAGGATGGTTTCCGTAATCGAAAATATAATTCCCAAACATTTATCGTCATTTGAGGCAATTCCCCATAAGGTACAATTCACTTATAAGACCGCTAGATAGTCATTCTCTAGATAGTCTGTCTCTGATCGGGTAATAACAAGCAAGTGTGACCCTGATATGAATAATTTCCTCTTTTGCGCTTTTGTTTTGATATTCTTTACTAGTCTTGCTTTGAGTAGCGGTAAATGTCTCCTTTTTTATTCTTCTCTTTACAGTACAATCATAGGTCAACGATTTTCTCCTTTTCTACTAAAAATGCACACAGATGTATTTAAATTTATTACAAACGACTCGCTAACACCCCTTTTTCACAGCTATTCCATAAAACCATCGTTAGTCAAATTAATCTGCTGCCACACTTCTATTGCAGTCGTCAATGAGGAAATGAATGTCATTCCTAGAGGCTCGCTATCAAATTCGAGTCTAACGGTATCTCCCATTATGTTACTTTCTGTTTTGATATTTAAAAGAGAGCCATTGTTATCAACTCTCTTTTCAGCCGTACGGCATTGGTTCTCTTAAGCAAAGCAAAACGAAATACCAAAAACAATGTTGCCAACTTTCCCAAAAGTGTACCCCCAACCAACCAAACGCCTTCCCATTAAAAACCACAAAATCTCTTTACAATACAAGGCAACTGCTTGAAGTTTTGAAATAGTAAAGTAAACTAAACATCTGCCTTGTAAGGCAGTTTTCTTTAAGGACAATTTATTGATTTCGGACTCACGAGCACACATTAATTCTAATCTCTTTTTTTCTTGTGCTTGGTTGTAAAGTAATAAAATTGATTTTTCCAGAGCCACTCACACATGCCATAAATATAGACGCGTGTTGCAAAAAATAAAAGAAAATCTCATAACCAGGTAAGAAAAACTTTCTTGGCATGCGCAACCATCTTTATCCTTATCAGCACAACCACCACCCTCTTTTGGATGATCGCCCAAAAAAGAAAATCAGCGCATGAACTTTCCAAGGATCAACAAAAAAAAAAAACAACCCTCGATTTATTAGCCACGGGCCAATGAACAACGAATAAACTCAACCCAAGATGACCAGCCATAAACAGCTGCGGTCTTTCGAAAAAAAAAACTTTAAGAAGTAATCAAATGCCAAAAGATGATATGGAAAAAAGACGGCTGTGCCAAATTTCTTAACCCACCAACATAAATACCCTCCCCTTGCCCTTGCCTACTCTCCATCATTTATTTATTTTGGAATTTTGCTCGCCACCAGTATGATAAATCTTTTAATTGTTATTCTTTATGGCCGATTTTGATCCGGCGACACTAATGAATTGGATCGCTCAGTTTCTTAGATTGGCATACGCTATCTTTGGAATAAAGGCAGCTGTAGTGATTTTTGAAAATATCGTAAAGAAAAATTATTGATGGATAAAAATGTTTACCGTATTTTGGGATGGGAGATTTTTCAAATTTTTAATATAATTTTAAATAACTTTAAATGCAAATATGTTAAAACTTAATGAAGGGGACTATTTCAATTCATTTATAATTTCAGATTTTGACCGATTTCAAACTAAATATATATTATTTGGCATGTTTACATTGGAGCTTTTTGTCGGGTTAACCTCTTTTATGAAGATTTATTTGACGTATTACATCGGAAAGAACAATTATTGATCTAAAAATTTTTACCGTCTTTTGGGAAGGGAGATTTTTATATTTTTGATTTTTTTATTTTTGACCTCAAGCCAAACGAAAAACCAGAAGAAAATATTTTTGAAAACAATTTTAAATAACTTTAAATGCAAATATGTTAAAATTTAATAAATTTATTCATGTTTTCATAAAAATCGTGGTAGAAGAAAGCAGATTATGCATCAACGCTTGGGAACATTGATATGTCAAAAAATTTTAAATGTTTTTTAAAAAATAAGTAGATTTTCATATTTTTTCCATACGACGCCAACCGGGGGTAGTTTTTTTTAATTATTACAAATTTGAAAAAAATTTTTCTTTAAAAAATTTCAATTCCAAAATTGGTTTGTCAGTTCATTGTCCCAGCAGTACGCAATGAAATTGACAATTTAAATCCACTGGGTTTACTAAACCCATATAACTGTAAACGGACTATTAAAACAATTTCACAGAGCTGAATAACTTCAGTTCTTTTTAATAATTCCAAGAAAATGTTGTCTTGTTTAATCTTTATCCTTATAGCTATCCATAATATTGCGGGAATATTGATTGGAAACCGTTTTGAGACGAAATAAATCTAGAAACATACAAAAAACTTGGTTTAAAAAGAAACCTGGATTTTTCTTTATTTTTTTCCGCTTTTTTAATTTATTACCAAAATGCCAAAAAAAGCCTTTGTAGCAACTTTGTAAAACATTTCCTTCCTTGTTTTCTTGGTGTCAATGGTTTAAAAATAGTTTCATAAAAATGTGAAAATAATTTTGTTTTGTTCATCATTTTGACGTTTGTCATCTTATCGTTCTGTGTTTACTTGTTCTTATATTTACTAGTTTTCAGATTTCAGAGCATACTTTCAGGCGGTAACTATTTAAGCCTTACTAACTCTTTAACCCACAAAAAATTTTAACCCTTATATAACCCTTCAAAAAAATATATATATATTAAAAAAATTATTCTTTGATAATGGAATGTTTAAATAAAGACTGCAAAATTACAAGTCTAAAAGAACGCTTGTTGACTTGTTGGTTGTGCGAGAAGCATGAACATTTGAAATGCTTAGGTTTTAATGGTAAGCATTTTGATATCATAACTGATCGCAAATATGGGCTTCGCTGGTCATGTGACAATTGTAGGTCCCTTGAAGTAGATTTTTATCGTCTATTCAAGGAATCTAAAATTGAATTAGCTGCCATGAAGAAAGAGTTTAGTGTCGTTACTTCCAAACTTGAAAATTTTGAAAAAATGTTTATAAAATTTGAATACGCAGATGGTTCACCGAAACGTAAAAAATTCTCAGCTATTGCTTCCGGTGTTAATTTAATATCCCTAAACACACCAGTTGTGGCTCCGCCACGCAATGCTGCTGAGTCTTTACCGTCGGAAAGCCATTTGGCGCCACCGGCGCTGTGTTCACCCTTGCCAATCGTTTCAAGTCAAGTTTCAAGTCTTAATGAATTCTCAACGATTGAAACTCCATCTTCTGAATCCGTACCCATAATGCCCTTAGGTCCTCTAAGTCCGACTGTACCATCAATAGTTGTTAATCCTATTTCAAATGTTGATGCTTCAGCTCCTAATTCATCCGCAAAAACTGTAATTGGTCCTTGTCAATCTGGGAGTAGTAATGAACTAGTTGTAGTTGCTCCCAGGAAAAGTATTTTTATATCTAGATTACATTCCAATACAACTATAAATAACATATCTAATTACTTAAAATCTAAAGTGCAAAACCTGGGTGATAACGACTGTAGAATTATTAAATTTAATTCGTCATTACCACGAGATATATCATCGTTCAAAATAATCGTGCCTCATGATATGTTTGATACATTGTTAAATAGATCTTTTTGGCCAGATGGTGTTCTTGTAAAGGAATTTGTGTTTAGAGAGAAAACTAATGCTAATAAACCTGTCAAGATCCCTTCAAGTGTGCCGGTCTCAAAAAACTAATCAATTCTCTATCTATTCTTTACCAAAATGTAAGGGGCCTTAATTCTAAACTGAAAAATATTTATTTAAAATCCTTTTGCTGTGATTTCAAAATTCTCGTTTTCACGGAAACTTGGCTCAAACCAGGCATACGTGACACTGAGATTTTGTCTGATCAGTACCAAATTTACCGGAAAGACAGATTGAATAAAGTTGGTGGAGGAGTATTCATTGCCGTCCACAATTCTATTGCCTCGGAGCGCATTTTGCTTACAGAATGTCCTAATATAGAATTTGTTTGTGTTAAGCTAAATTATTTAAATAATACGTTTATTCTTACGTGCTCTTATATTGCTCCAAATTCAAATGTAGATATTTATCTTAAACATTCAGACCTAATAAAAGAAGTTTCAACGTGTCGGCCTTTAAATTCAGAATTGATTTGCTTTGGTGATTTTAATTTGCCCAGTTTAACTTGGGTCCCAGGTGATAACAATGTTGATTATGTACCCATTTCATCCTCAGAATTATCCTCTGATATGTTACAGTTCTGGGAAAACATTTCTGATCAATGTGACCCTAAAGAAATCGCAAATATGTTTGCAGAATTCTTTCAGAATACCTACTCTAAATTTACCTCAAATTTTACTACTTACCCTTATAATGTTAATAAGCTAAATCAGTTCCCTCGTATCACATTCACGGAGACTGACGTATTAAACGGTTTATTATCATTGAATTATTCTAACTCACCAGGTCCTGATGGTGTACCAACATCTATTTTAATCTCATGTGCTCATGAACTTTATAGACCACTAACGACAATTTTTAATGACTCATTGACATTAGGTTACTTTCCTCTATTTTGGCGTTCTAGTTATATTATTCCTTTACATAAATCCAATAGTAGATGTGTTATTGAAAATTATAGAGGCATAGCAAAACTAAGTGCTATTCCCAAACTTTTTGAGCTTTTGGTCACACGTAGAATAACTCATTTTGTCTCACCTGTAATATCACCTCAACAACATGGTTTTGTTAGAGCTAGATCTACTTTGACGAATTTATTAGAACTTACTTGTCAAGTGCACAATGGTTTTTCAAATAAGTGTCAAACTGATGTTATTTATACAGATTTCAGTAAAGCATTTGATACCGTTGCACATGAATTATTAATTTATAAACTTGATTCCATGGGGTTTCCTACAATACTCTTATCATGGATATTGACATATTTACAGAAACGTACCCAAAAAGTATCATTTAAAGATATTCTTTCTAATAATATAAATGTAATCTCAGGAGTTCCTCAAGGTAGTCATTTAGGTCCACTACTTTTCGTACTTTACTTAAATGACCTTCCATCTGTTATTCGTCGCTCTAAAATTTTGATGTTTGCTGATGATGTTAAATTATATTCTAATCTCGAGTCTTATAACCAATTAAATAATCTTCAATGCGATTTAAATTGTCTTGTGAATTGGTGTAGTGAAAATGGGATGTCATTAAATTTAAAAAAGTGTAAAAAGCTATCTTTCTATAGATCCCAGCCTGTTAAAAGTGACTATTTTATTGGCTCATATAAATTGGATAAGGTAGACTCCTTTGTAGATCTGGGTGTAATTCTGGATAGAAAACTTAGCTTCAATTTACATATAGATTCTTGTGTTAATAAAGCCAAGTCGTTGCTTGGATTTATAAAACGTTGGTCTAAAGAATTTGATGATCCTTATGTTACTAAACGTTTATTCATTAGTCTTGTTCGACCAACTTTGGAGTATGGTTGTGTACTTTGGAGTCCCTTCTATAAATTATATTCTGACAAGATAGAATCTGTACAGATTCAATTTCTTCTGTTTGCTCTTAGAGGCTTAGGATGGAATTCGAATGAAGCTCTTCCACCTTATGAAAATCGCTTAAAACTTATAGATCTTCCGTCACTTCACAAAAGGCGTCAAATGCTAAGATGCATTTTCATAATAAAACTCTTGCGCGGGCAAATTCAATCTGAATTTCTCTTAAGCGAAATAAACTTTAATGTCCCTTCGCGTAGCACGCGAAACTACTTGCCTCTTAAATTGACAATAGCAAAATCTAATTACGAACTATGTAATCCTCTGCGGTCTTTATGTGATGAATATAACAAACTATACAATATAATGTCTTTATCTGAACCCTTGCATGTTATAAAAAAATCTATCTTGTGTTCTTAAAATGTAGAAACAGTTGCCAGAAATAATTAATTGGATTTTAGTTTTGTTGTAGTCTATATGTCTGTATTGTGTATATTAATGTACTTTATTGTTTAGCCGGCTGATAATTACTGTAGCCGGTTTCCCCTAGCCTACTAACCCCCTATATTTCGGACTATAGGGTGTACGCGCTCCCTTCGTTATGGGGAGGTGGCCCCCTCGGTCGGCAGGGGCGGGAAAGTGTGGCGATGGGAACGATCGATAAAAAAAAAAAAAAAAAAAAAAAAAAAAAAAAAAAAAAAAAAAAAAAAAGTCCATATTTAAGCCTCTGTCTTAAGTTTTCTTTGTCTAGACCAACTAATTGCTATATAATAATGTTTATAGAGGATCAAGTGTCCTTTCGGTTTAGTTTATACAAAGTCAAGTGTCTTTGAGACACTTAGAAAGTGTTAGGTGTTAACTAGGGGATTTTAACGAAAAAATGTCCACATAGTTTTAATCCCAAAACATAATTCGAAGATTAAGGGATTTGCAACCAAAATGGATTAAAAGATACAAAATATGTTAAATTTTTAGAATTGTGTCATTTGAAAAATAAAATAGTGACGATTATTGCTTTGTGATTGCCAGAAGCTACAAGAATCTGATAATTTTATATTAATTCTAAAAAAATGTGTAAATATTCCGCACAATTTCTTATAGAAGTGATTCGGTGGGTTTTCAATAAAATAGCCAGTCAATACAGCCGGAATAAGGTCCCGTGTAAATCCAAGCGAAGAAAATTGTTTTCTAGCGACGGTAATCAAAAGTAATTCCATATTTCTAACACGAATATGATGAAGTAGTAAAATGGACAAACGTTTGAATATTTTTCAGACATTTCGACAAGGACATGAACACGATACTTCAAAAACATTTTTTCGCGCTAAAAATAGAGTCACGAATTGATTTCCTCTTTTTAATATAATCCTTTGACCCATGGCAAAATTAAGACAGTAAAATATGTATATCCATCTCTGCATTTTCTGTAATTTGTCTTATATTTTATTGCATAGATAACTGGTTCAATCTCTGATTTGGGTTTATAAATATACATTTTAACAATGAAATGTCAAATGAAAATTTTTGAGAAAATTGTAACCGTAAAAAAATTGTAAACCTTAATTCTACATTGCTTTGACCCTGGCATAATTATGCAAGGAAATATCATGCTAACATATGATCATGGCAAAACAATAATATATTTAATATGGCAACCCTTTTCTCACGAACTCGACTTTGTCATTTTTTTAAATGAAATCTAATTTCATATCTAAAATATTTTCGTATGACGAGTGGCAGATTTTACAAAAATAATAAATAATCTTTTATTTTCGGCATTCCTTTGCACATAAAAACATATACGTTCCATATCTTCGGAATACTACGTTTATTTATTTGTTCTTGGACTTAAACATATCAAGAGAAATATTTCAACCCCTTTATCTTAAGAAACATTTTCGTTGATGTCAGTTCTTGTGTAGGCCTCGAGTGAGGTTTTAATTTAGGTCCCCAGATTTACCAGTTGAAAAATGTTGCCAAAATCTTCAGAATATCCGCTATATGGATTCAGTACTAAAACGAAAACTTACGCTGACAATTTCTTGTAACAAATTAAATGTCGATTTAACTGAAAATAAGAGATGACAATCTTCTACTATTTTTTTTTTTTTTTTTTTTTTTGGAAAACAAGGCGTGATATTGTCTCCATACTTGTCCTAAAACCGCACCCAAATTCAACCATTCCATACTTAAGTCTTACATGACTTATCAGACTAATATTTTAGTTTCGTGTTGTAAATTATATTTTTCTTTGACTTTTATGCCCTAAAAGAGGCTGAAAATTAAAAAAAAATATTTGTTCGAAAATAAATGTAAATTTATTACCAGTTTTATACCAGTATTATACATTTGACAATGAAACGGACAAAAAATGGAAGAAATTTTAATCATATGATGAGATCACCTTGGTAATTGTATCATGCATAATAATTCGCAACATCCAACTTTTAAAATTGCAAATTTAAATGTAATGTGCGTACTGGTGTTTTGTGGCAAAAATATAATAATATTGTGATCGAAAAAGTACTTTGATCATGAATTTGACAACTTAAATGTAGTCTATGTATCACACGATATGTGTATCGTCTACATATGGAAAATTTGACATCACATACATAAAAAAAACATTCCCCACGGGTAAAAAATTTTTAATCATATGATGAGATCACCTTGGTAATTGTACCAAGCATATGATATAAAATTCGCAACATCCAACTTTTAAAATTGCAAATTAAAATGTAATGTACGCATAACTTATGTTTTTTTGGCAAAAAAATAATATTGTGATCGAAAAAGTACTTTAATCATGAATTTGACAACATAAATGTCGTCCATGTATCACACGATATGTGTATCGTCTACATATGGAAAATTTGACATAACATATATAAAAAAAAGACATTCTCCACTGGAAGAGCATTAAATATCAATAAAACATGTTTATAACCCAAAAATAAATGCAATGGCAACTCCAAAAGTTCTCACACAATAAGGCCCCCTTTTCTCTCTTCTTTTATGATGCCATACTCTTTCAATAACAAATTCATCTCTCTTCCGTTTGACATGTTTTGGTGTTGTTCTAAATGAAACTAAAAAAATGATAATTGATTTAAATAATCACTACCGGGTTCATATTTTTTAGTTGGGCAGATATTTAAATATCCCCCACTCGATGGCAGACATATGAAGTGGCATATGAATGACATGTCGGCTATGGACAGCTTTACATGCACACATAAGTATCATTTGATGTTAACTTTATTATGAGGGTTAATTTAAATTGAGAAAAAAAACAAGTGTGATGATATTCCCCAAAAAAAAAAAAGATGCAAAGGCATTTGATATTTTGTAGCCAAACGAGGCGGGAATCAGTTGTGTGGCATAAAAAATATAATTTTTTAATATTTTCAAATATTGCCTGAAATCAAGATCCTTGAGTAAAAATACAAAATAACTAATTTCAAGAGATAATTTTATAATTGAGTCTTGCTTGCAAGATCAGGCTCATCATCTTCAAGATAAACAAAGAAAAAAATTGAGTAAAGATAATCTCTTAACGGTAAACGACACTCACTCACTCATGACAGATAACTAAGGAATATCTCATGGGCATAAAAGAGTCTTATCTTTAAGATATTGCATTGAGAGAATAACTGTGTGTATGAGAGAGAGAGAAATTATATTGAGGAAATTTGAGCTACCTTTAAGGGGCACAGGTAAATACAAAAACAAAACCAAGGAACAACAACAACAAAATGACCTTATGTTGAACGTGGGAAAAACTCTGTGTGTTGTGTGTCTGTTCAAAACCAAAAACTCCCCTATATGTAGTTCACACACACACAAGCATGCATGCATGCAAACACACACAGTCATGTTTGTTCTTAGCCAAAGGACGATGATGATGTTTGCCTTCGTCTGGTTGCGACTTAACGTGGCGTTTCAACAACTAAGGATCAGTATCCTTCAGGAGTTCAAAACGAACGCATTACGCGGAATCTTCGGATTTTTTCGAAAATAAAAATCCTAAAAAAAAAACAAATTAGAAAAAATACTAAGAATTTTAAAAAACCATTTTTATTTTAATGTAAAAAAATCTTGTGCAATTTATTTCAAAAAGAAACTCTCTCAACAAAAACCAAAGTCAAACCGAGTTGTGTTTTAACCAAAAAATAAATAAATATAAACCCTATGGATTTATAAAAGTGCAACAGCTGATCGATCATCAACCCCACCTACTTGGATTATTACCTCACATTGTGGATTAATTTTATATTCAAATCATATATAAATAAAATAAAAATTATAACAAAAATGGATTACAAAAACGATGTCCACTCCGATGATGACTTCGATAGTTACAGCGACAACTATCAGCAATCAAATTCCGGCCAGTCGCAAAATCAACAATTCAATACCTCCCAGGGTCGTTTGACCAATCCAGCTGGCCTGTCCAAAGCTGAATTGAGAAAGGTGAGGAATTTTTTAAAATTTGTATTTTTCAAAAAAAGAAATATTTTCAAAAAAAAAAAAAATAAAAAATATTTTCCCAAAAATAAAATAAATAAAAAATATTTTGCAAAAAAAATGAAATATGAAATATTTTGAAAAAAAAATAAATAAAATAAATAAAAAATATTTTCCAAAAAATAAAATAAATAAAAAATATAGGGATAAAGCCTGACCATTTTGCAACAACAAAAAATATTTTCCAAAAAAAATGAAATATTTTGAAAAAAAAATTAAAAAAATATTAAATATTTTCCAAAAATAAAATTCCATTGAAATACGAACAAGAATACCAAATTATTTCTTTAAAAAAAAACAAAAAAAATATTTTTGAAAAAATCTTGCTAAAATTTATAAATTTCACATTTTAACAAAAAATCCAAATTTTTTAAAAAAAAAAAGTATTAAAAATGAAAAGGCATTTTAAAATTTTAATCCACATTTACATTTTACTGGATTTAGTAAACCCAATGCATTGAAATTGCCAACTCCATTGTAATACGTCCTCATAAAGGAAGTTATCCCCAGAAAAAACCTCAATGTGAACATACTATTATCTCAAAATAAAAAATTCCTAATTTTTCATTAATTTTAGTAATTCTAAACAATTATTAATAACATTTTTGTTTTTCTTCTCCCTTTTCAGACTAACAAACCCATTATGGAAAAACGTAGACGTGCCCGTATCAATCATTGCCTGAATGAATTGAAATCCCTGATATTGGAAGCCATGAAAAAAGACGTAAGTATTTTTTAAACTATTCACAACCCAATATTCCCCCAAAAAAAAACCTGTTCCCTATACAAAATCTGCACAAAAAAAAAAATAAATAATAATTCCGCTTAGAATTGCGAAAAACCTGCGTGGGAACATTTTCAAAATACTTTTCGTAACTTAAAGAGCGCAAAATCACCGCCAACAACAACAGCAACAATAACGAAAGAGAATCTTTCTTGATAAACCCATGCCGATTTTTTTCTTTCGTTTGGTCCTCTTTCCATTTATCTTTTGCTCATGATCGTTAAATGAATGAAATCTGTGGCAAGCCAATGATGGCTAAGTTTATTTATTTTGTTCCCACCTTCGCTGGCTGCTGGGCTGCCTTAACTCTTTTTCACAAATCCCCAACAAAGCCTTAGCCTTTAATTCTCATCGTCTGGGATTGTTGTTGGTGTTCTTGTTTCAAAATCGTGTCTTGATCATAAACTACAAGGTTTTTTTCTGTCTGTCTGTTGCCAAGAAAACAACATCTCAACTGCAAATCTGCAAGATGCCTTGTTGTTGTGATTTTTTTTCTTTTTATTTCATTTTAACCATTCTTGTTGCTGTTTTTGCGATTTTTTGTTTTCTTTTTGCCTCTTCTACGGGACTTGCAATCAATTAGAAGCTCTGTGTTAAGCCCTGACTCCTGTAGCACCACATTATCAATACTGTTTTTGCTCTCCTTTTCTTATACGGCCCGGGCAGATCTGAAAATAAAAGTAAAAAAAAATGTGTGAAATTTTAAAAATGCAAAGCCAAATTAATGAAGGGCTTTTTCTACAACTTTATGGGCGGCAATGAACAAAGACATGGGAATTTATTTCTCACCATGGCGAGAAAGGGTTGCCAGCTTTTGGAATAACATTTTCGGCAAAGAAATGACAGCAAAATTAATGAAGGGTTTTTTAGTATAACTTTATGGGCGTCATTTATTATGGGAATTTATTTGCTCCCCACACCAGGGTTGCCATATTTTTAGTTTATAAAATAATTTTCTACAATCTCACTAATTTATTTCTGTCTCTCTTTTCTTTCTATTTTTAGCCGGCACGTCACACAAAACTTGAAAAAGCCGATATCCTTGAGATGACCGTCAAACACTTGCAATCCGTTCAGCGTCAACAGCTCAACATGGCTCTGCAAACCGATCCCACAGTGATCCACAAATTCAAGACTGGCTTTGCTGAGTGTGCCGATGAAGTAAATCGTTATGTCAGCCAATTGGATGGTGTCGATGAAACTGTACGCCAAAGATTGAATAGTCATTTGAATCAATGCGCGACCAGTCTTGATCAAATTGGTGCCATGACCAATTTCAACAATGGTTATCAACGCAATGGGGGCCATGCCAATTTGTTTGGTTCCAACAATCTTCCGCTGCCAATGGGAAATGGTGGTGCGGCAGCATCCTTGTTTCCTAGTTTAAGTCAAGACTTCAACTCCACACAGCCCATACAAATGGGTGGAGTGCAACTGATACCATCGCGCCTGCCATCCGGAGAATTTGCCTTGATAATGCCCAATACCGGAAGTTCCAACAATCAAGCCGCCTCTCTAATGAACAACAATTCCAACAGTGGTTTTCCCGCCTGGCCTTCACAGACTGGCGGCCAAGCTGGCTCAGCACAAATTAATGATTTTGCTGCCAATTTCAAGCGTTTGAGTGCCTTCTCCAAGCCACCATCGACTTTGATTACACCGCCCAAAGTAAATCCCGGCAATATGTATCCCCAAACCAATTTGGGCTCCACAACCGCCACCAGTTATCAACCTCTAAATCCAGCCCAGTCACAGACCAATTTCCACAACTCCTCCAGTCCTCCGCTCAGTCCAATTTCTTCAGTATCTAGTCACAATGAAGATTCAATGATGCACAATAGCTCGGATTTCACCAATTCCCGATCAACCTCACCACATCATCATCAGCAGGATAAACACAATAGCTTTTTGGGAGTGTTCAACACACCACCCTCCTCGGCGGAAAACTCCTTTGTGCTCAGTGCAGCCCATTTGCAACAGCAGCAGGTGTCTAGCAGCACCAGTGATTTGAACACCAGCTCTGGATCGGCCAATAGCTCTCTAAAACGTTCCTTTTCTGAGGCGGCCGATTCCAGCATTTGCTCTGAGGATGATCATGCCTCGAAAAAATATCACAAAGAAGGCCAAATGGAGGGTGAGGATCAAGACAGCATGTGGAGACCGTGGTAAAATTCGTTTTACACCAAAAGCAAATTGTTAATACATATTTTTTAAGATTTTAGATTAAGTAAAATTTTTTTGTAAAACTCATACAATCAAATTTTTTTCGAACGCTATTTTTCTATTATTATTTTCAAAAAAAACAAAATTGTATTTAACTCTTATTTTCATTTTCATTCTGTGATTTGTATATAATTTTGTAAAAATTTTGCCTTCCACAACCGCGGGTGGGTGTTTTAGTTATGTTTTAATTCGTTTTGAAGCAATTAAGTTTTTATTATTATTGTATTTTTTTTATTATTACTATTATTATTTTTGTTAAATTTAAGTATTTAATTCAATCGCCATTTAATGTTAAAACGACCGTTTGTGTGTTTTTCGTTCACTGAAATGTTTCTAAAATAATGTTTTGCTTAAGTTTTAAAAGAGAGTTTCATTCATTATGATTTTTTGAAAAAAAGAGAGAAAAACATATGTTGTAACATAAATAAAATTAATATAAAACACATATATACATATTTTTTGTTTTGGTTTTTGATGGTAGAATTACAAAGGTAATATGCAATGCAATCATACGATTACAATTTTTTTATTTGATGTTCCGTGATTGTCAAATTTATTTTTTATAGTTCCTCCTTAGATATGGGCGTACAACTGGCAAGAAATGCATAAATAAACGTTATTTGTTTTGTCTTTTTTATGGTAGAATAACAATGGTAATATGCAATACAATCATACGGTGACAATGTTTTTATTTGATGTGCCTTCACTGTCAAATTTCTATTTTGTAGTTCCTCCTTAGATATGGGCGTACAATTGGCAAGAAGTGCGTATTTATTTTCGAACAATATTTTTTTAAATTCCCCCATTCCTACACCCCCTATCACGGAAGAATACATTCTTAGCAAAAAAACTCACATATTAGCCCCATAAAAGGGACGTTTACACATACGAAATCATGTGGTTTTAAAATGTCAAAAGTAAAACATATGTTATAACATAAATAAAATTAATATAAAAAACATATACATATAAAGATTTTTGACTTTGTTTTTTGATGGTAGAATTACAAATGCAATGTGCAATGGAATAATACGATTACAACTTTTTTATTTGATGTTCCTTCATTGTCAAATTTATATTTTGTAGTTCCTCCTTAGATATGGGCGTACAATTGGCAAACATTTACAATTATTTCCGAACAATTTTTTTTAATTTCCACCATTTCCTTCCCGGAAGAATAATTTCTTAGCAAGAAAACCCGAATTTTAGGATTTTGACACATACTAAATCGTGTGGATTTCAACTGTCAATTTCAATGCATATTCGTTAAATAAAATCGAATCTTAATGTCAAATTTATATTTGCAAAAAAACTCGTCTTCCTGAGATATGGAACATATAACAGTTGTGATATATTGTATTTTTGTAAAATATGCCACTCGCCATACGTACATATTTTAGATATGGTAGAATTAAGAAGGTAAAGTCATGCAGTCATATGTTTACAATTTTTTTCCAAAATTATTCGTTAGACAACATCTCGTCAAAATTTAAATTATTTACACAGAAATCAGAGATGGGAACCTGTTTTTTGTACACTGTAATTTGACAAGGTAAATTACAGAAAATGCAGAGATGGATATGCTTATTTGAAGTGACTTTAAGTAAAAACGCAGCTAAATACGGCCAGCCCAAACTTTAATAACCTCCAACATTTGGAAGGAATTTGCAGAATTCAAAAAATAAATAAAATAATTGAAAAAATGCCGCTATAATTTTTAAAATTCCGAATATCATGGTCTATACAATTACGAGGACCTCAAGAGCCAATTATTTGTCAGCTAGGTCACTGCTTATTACGAACTCCAAATATCAATTTTTAAACAATTCTCTTGAAAAATGTAGTTTAAATCATCCAAATACCGAATAATAGGAGTTACAATTATATGGCGGCTATGCGAAGACTTGGATCTGCACAGGCAATTTTCTGTCATAGGTAGAAGTACGCATTGCGAACTCCAAAACACAAATTTGATACAATTCCGGAGAAAAATGTGACACAAATGAATAAAATACCGAATATCAGGGGGTACAGTTATATGGGAACTAAACCATAACTTGGATCTATATGGATAATTCTTTGCAAAGCTGTTTCTTACATATACTAAACACAAACAGCCAAGTTACAGCAAATTCTGTTTAAAAATATGACTAAAACAGCCAAAACACCTTAAATCTTGTGGTACAGTTATATGGGGGCTATATACAAATGTAGACCTATATGGCCCATTTTCAATACCAAAAATTCTAGGGACCTTAAGTGCATCTCAGCAAAAATTTTATCAACGTACTATATTTTATTGGGAAGCTAAGGCGATTTCCACGGACATACTTGGCTAAATCGACATAGAATCTTATGCTGATCGAGAATATATATACTTTGTGGAATGACAAACTTAATTTACATTTTCATAGCATGGTGAAGGATTTAAAAATAAATTTTATATGAAAAAATACAGGGTTGGTTTCATTAAAAAGTGTTGCCAATTACACATGTACATGTTGACATGTATGCCGTATGAACATGGTATAATTGTTACTGCACGTTTTGTTGAAATTAACAGTACGTTTACATATAAATGGGTGAACCAACTGGATTTGGATTGAAATTGTCGAAATTGTCATATCCATGGTAGAAGAATACAATTTTGAAAATTAAAATTTTTTTATTTATTTTGAAATTTAAAATTTATTCAAATTTGTTAAAATTGTTTTGAATGAAGAATTATTCGAATTTGTAAGAATTTTTTTTTGTAAGAATTGAAGGTAATCTCATTACAAATTAGCATTTTTAGCTCTGCATTTTCTGCAATTTACCTTGTCAAATTTCAATGCATAAAACAATTCCCATCTCTGTTTTGTGTGTATATAATGGATTTATGAATATTGATTTTGACAATGAGATGTTGTCAAATGAATAATATTTGAAAAAATTGTTAACATATGATCACATGACTTTACCTTCTTAGTTCTACCATGAGAATATCTAACAACCTCTGATAGGCATCGTATAAGAAAACATATAAAAAGTCTTCTTAAATTTGAAAAAAAAAAATTAAAAATTTTGATGTATTAATGTTCCCAAGCATTGATACATCTACCAAAGCAATTTTTTCATCGATGTCCAAAAATGATTAAATTTAAATTCTGTAGTTCTTCTAGCTGGCAAGAAATCTAGATTTATTTCCGACCAAATATTTTATAACTTCCACGCTATTTAGAGTGGCAGTGTAAGATGTCGTTTTATACAGAATTCATATAGCAGGTATTGTGAAGATTTTGCCAACATTTTTCAGCCGGTTATTGTGGGACTTTAATCCTTACGTCCTAGGAACATCGAAAATAAGAGATTATTTATTATTTTTGTAAAATATGCCACTCGTCATACGTAAATAATACAGATTACACAATAATTTTTTATTTAAAAGATTTGAAGGTCGAGTACTTCAGAAAAGGGTTGTCATATTCGATCCATTGATGTGCCATGATTAAGCACAAGAATTAAAATAAAATTCGTCTTCCTGAGATATGGAACAAACAACTGTTTTTACGTGTCAAATGAATGCCGAATATGAAAGATTATATATGTAAAATATGCCACTCGCCATTTATTTTTATTTATGTAAAATATGCCACTTGTCATACGCAAACATTTTAGATATGCAAATAATTTTTATTTGATTGATGACAAATTCAGTTCCTTGGAAAAGGGTTGCCATATTCGATGTAGAAAATGAGACTGTATCTATTGTTTTGCCATTAAAAAAAAAACCTTAAACTCTCAGAAAGAAGTTGCTGGACAATGCTTCCTTTTTTTTCAATTCTTTTTTTAATTTTTAATAAAATGCAACATTTTTGCGTGCGTGTTTTGACAAATCAGCTGATTGTTTGCATATGTTTACAGGGATGCTGTCTGTTTACTTTTAACAATTACTCTCTGAAAAAAAGTGGCGGGAAAATTCTTCTCAGGAAGGGTAACCAGACATTCCCCATATGACCATCCGAAAATTCCCACACAAATTAAAGTTTTTTTTGCAAACACGATCGCACCCAATGTAATTTGCAAAACGGAAATAGGAATAAACAGTGAGAAGCAGCCTTAACTTTGATCGTGAAAATCGCCATTGCAAACAATTGTGAATGTTTGTAGGTTTCAATTAAGGAAATGACCTTGAAATTGTAGCTTTTTTACATTTGTGTTTTTGTTTTTTTTTTTTTTTTTTGATTGCTTAACGCTTGATTAAAAAGCTCAAAAACAAACAAAAATGCCACAGCATTGGAATGGGCGGCCACCAACCACTGTTTGCTGATAAGGCAGAAAACATAAATCAGCAGTGCCCTATAAAACCCCTGACAAATTCCATAATATGCCATAATATTCATAACATATGGGTTGAGTGTTTTCCCTGGGAATAGCTCAATTCTGTATTTAAATAAAAAATAATAAAAACGCAGTGTTTTCAATTCAGGCGTTTCAGTATATCGCAGAAGAAAGAAGAAGAAATAAATAAAACGCAATAAAATGTTTGCTTTCTCGAAATCGCTTATATTTGCAGTTACTTTATCGGCGGTTTATTTATCGGCCGCCCGTGCAGCCGATGATGATGACATGGACTATGGAAATTATCGTCCCTCACCAAAATTGTCAGGACCGGTTAATCTTTCACACAGCCCAGATGATGTTACCCTCAACAAATTGGACGAGTGCTTGGCCAAAATTTCCAACATTTATATGCAAGCCTTGTTTTCGGGCACCCATTCGCCGCAACTGGATGTGAATATGCGGAAATTGGAAATTGAGCTATTCGACCTATTGGATTTGTTGTATAAGGAACAACGCATCAAGGATTACATGAAATATGAAGCTGAAGTTACCCGCCAAATGATTATCTATAATATGCTAAAGAAATTGTTCGGTTATGCTGAAGATGAGAAGACCACCTAAAAATGTCTCAAGGGTTTGGAGAGTAAAGGTGTAAGTACAAAAGAAGCTTGAAGTCATGGCTGGGTATATTTTGTGACATTTCATAAAGAGATTACAGAGTCGCACTAAAATCCTGCCGTCTTATATGAAAGATTATTTATGTAAAATATGCCACTCGTCATACGTAAACATTTTAGATATGCAAATAATTTTTAGTTGATGGATGACAAATTGAGTTCCTTGGAAAAGGGTTGCCATATTCGATCTAGAAAATGAGACTGTCTCTATTGTTTTGCCATTTCCATTATAATATGACATTAATATGCCTAGCCATGACTTTAAGCTTTTTACGTACTTGCATCTTAAGCGATAAGGCTACAAACTAACTGTGATCCGAAAAAGTTCCTATAGTATTATGGTGCGTGGGCGGGAGAAGGAGGGTATATTCTAGTTCTTAACATTCTTAATATAATTATTAATAAAATAAAAGAGATTATATTTTGTTTAACATAACCTTACTTTTTGTTTAAAAAACCTTATTTTGGTGAATTAGTTATTAAAATACGTTTACATAGAAATCTTTGTGCGGATTAACTTTAAGGCTTATAGTATTGACAATTAACCCTCTGGGCTTAATAGATTTAGTGGTTTCAACTTGTGTGTTTAGATTTAAACCTTAAATGAATATAAATGCCCGTCAGCTGATGTTTGTTTACGTATACATACAAAACCAAGGGAGAATGCATGGTACAATTACAAAGGCAAGCTGGTGCAACGATTACAGATTTCTTAATTTGTTGTTGCAAAATGGTCAGGCTTAATCCCTTTATTGTTGTTTTTATAACATTTTTTATTTTATATCACTTTATTGTCAAATTTATATTTTCCAATTCTTCCTTAAACATGGACGTACAGCTGTCAAAAAAATTAACCTTAATTTTGGACCAAGCAATTTGGCAAAAAATTGCATTGGTATACAAGGCGTGAATCAACACAATTTTTTGTCCAAAAATTATCAATTTTAAATTTTTTAGATCTTCCAGCTGCCAAGAAATGTATCTTCATTTCCGACCAAATATTTAATAACTTCCACGCTTTTTAGAGTAGCAGTGTAAGATGTCGTTTTATACAGAATCCATATAACAGGTATTGTGAAGATTTTGCCAACATTTTTCAGACGGTTTTTTGGGATTTTGATCCTTTATGTCCTAGGAATGACGAAAATAAGAGTTTATTTAGCATTTTTGTAAAATATGCCACTCGTCATACGTAAATAATGCAGATTTCAAAATAAATTTTAATTAAAAAATGACAAGGTCAAGTACTTCAGAAAAGGGTTGCCATATTCGATTTAGCAAAAGAGTCTACCTCCATTGTTTTGCAATGTTTAAGCCCAAGAAATAAAATACCATTTGTCCTTCTGAGATATGGAACGAATGACAGTTTTTATGTACCAGGGAGCGCCAAAATTATTATTTTTGTTAAATATGCCACTCGTCATACGCAAATATTTTAGATATTCAAATAATTTTTATTTTTAGGATAACAAATTCGAGGTCCTTGGAAAAGGGTTGCCATATTCGATTTAGAAAATGAGACCATCTTTATTGTTTTGCCATGAAAACAACTTTATGGAGACAAGACATAAAACGCTTTTTTGACTGGCATAAGTCATCGGATATGTCAAAATTGTTAAAATGTTTTGCCAAAAATAAGTAGATTTTTTTATGTTTTCTTATAAGACCCAAATCGGAGTTTATCATGATATACACTTTTCAACAATTTTATACAAATTTCAATAATTTTTCATTCAACCATGGTAAAATTAAGAAGGTAAAGTCATGCAATCATATGTTAACAATTTTTTCAAAATTATTCGTTTGACAACATCTCTTTGTCAAAATGTATATTTATAAATCCATTTTATATACAGAAATCAGGGATGGGAACCTCTTTTTTATACAGTGAAATTTTGGATATTGTTATTTAAAATGACTTTACCTTTTTAATTTTACCATGGTAATCCATAAAATGTTATAATTTTTCAGAAAATGCAATATGCAAGTGTGTGATAGCACGAATTATGAGTCATATGTAAAATGGGAGCTTAAATGTACATTTTGAAATTGAGAAGTTGTCATACGTAAACATACCTTCTTAATTCTACCATGGAAAGAGATGAGCGACTAAAATATGCCGGCATGATTGACTTTCTCTGACTGGCTGTTACGTCAATTTTGAGGGATTGTCATCTAATATTGACATTTTCTCTAGTTTTCCTTTACACCGAAGATGTGCTGTCCCCCCTCCTACTACCTTTCTTAAATCAAAAAAATCCCTCTCCAAAATCCCATAAAATATTTCTTCTCTTATTTGTCTCTTTAATTCCATTTTTCCCATCAAGTAAACGTCTTATCAATACCATCTTATTTCCCTGTGAACCACAGGAAAAAGACCTGCTAAAAGGAACTAATTATAATTCCATATCCTTTCCAACTCTCAATCTCCCCCATCTACTTTTGAAATCACAATGCAAGAATAAAACTCTCATCGTCGTGTGTCAGACACTCGCTTCATGGGATTATTTATCGATCAATTCGTTTTCTTCCCCCCCACTCAACCAAAAATCTATCACACACTTGTTCCCACAGCAATCCTATATGTGTGTTCACAGCACTCATAAACCTGATTTATCCTTTTGCTGGCAAGGAAAACAAAAAGCGAAACGAAAATCTTTAGGTTCTCACATACGCCTCCACTCAGTTGTTGTTGTTGCTGCTGTTGTTTGTTGCCAGCCACACAATAATGATGCTCGTCGAACGATGCAAAATCTTCGTTCGTTTTTCATGTTGTTGTAATTGTTATTATAATAATTTTTGTTTCTCACACATTTGAAATATGAGCTGAGAAATTAAACTCTCACTGCAGTCGGTGTGTGCAGTTATCAATGCAAGTCAGTAAGAAAAAAAGAGTTGCCATCGTATCTCTAAAAGTCACTGGCCACATATTGATTTAAAGGCCTTATTTACACCAAAAATGTTTTCGTAAAATGCATTATATAGATTATTGCTTTAATAATATTTTAAAAAAATGGAGAATCCATGGTAGAGTTAAGAAGGCTAAAATCTTGCAATCATGTGTTTACATTTTTCTTTTTTTTTCAAAATAATTAATTTGACAACATCTCATTGTTAAAATTTATATTTATAAATCCATTGTATACACCGAAATCAGAGATAGGAACCTGTTTTTTTATTCAGTGAAATTTGTCATGGTAAATTACAGAAAATTCAGAGATGGATAGTAGATTCTTGGAGATTTTGGAACAGAGCATAAATGTCAAATATATTTTGTATCTTTTTCCTAAAAACCAATTTCTAAATACAAATGGTGAGACGAAAAACTGCAACCAACTTCAGACTGCTGTCATTTCTAAGCCACTCGTCCGACAGCCGTTAAAATTATTCCAGTGACAGCTCATTATATTGTTGCGTACAAAAGCATTTTGGTGAGAATTTCCCAGAAAAAAGTTATTCGTGATGGAATTCAAGCGTGATAGTGTGATTTCTTCATATTTGGCTGGAAAACCCCAAGTGGCTATCGTTAGAGCACTCCAGCACTTAAATGTGAATAAATCTTTTGCATCTCGTACCATCGCTCGTTACCGTGATACTGGTAGCGTAGCCCGTCATCAAGGAAGTGGACGAAAGAAAACAGCAACATCAGCAGAAATGGTTCGAAAAGTAACGAAGCGACTTGATCAAAACCCGCATCGCAGTGTCCGAAAAATGGCTCGTGAACTGAACGTATTGCAATATTCCATTTGGCAAATATTGAAAAATGAGCTCGGGGTAAATCCATTGAAATTCCAAAAAGTGCAAGAAATTACACCGCACCACCGAAAGAAAATAGACTCAAAAGAACTAAAGAGTTGCTTCGCTTGGCTGAAAGTGATTAAATGCAGAATTTGGTTTTCTCCGATGAGAAAAAATTCGTTGTCCAACGTTTTGTAAACAAACCAAATGAGCGTGTTTACTTGCCAAAGAGGTCAGCTGAAAATGTGCACCATCGGTTGACCACCAGAACTCAAGCGCCGGCCATGGTGATGGTGTGGGCCGCCATAACAGCCGATGGTCGCTCTCCACTCGTATTAATCGACCGTGGCATCAGAATAAATGCCGAATATTATGGTGAAAATGTTCTGGAGGGTGTATTAAAAGCCTTGGGCAAGCAAACATTTTGGCCGCAGACCTTGGACATTCCAATAGCACTCCATGCACCATCACACTCAACTCGCGCCACCCAAGAATGATTACAAACTGAGGTTCCTCGCTTCATTTCCAGCGCACAATGGTCACCAAAATCTCCGGATACCACTCCGTTGGACCGTATTGTGTCTGGAGTATTTTGGAAAGCAAGGTTGGCACAAAAAAATATCAAAGTGTCGATCTCCTGAAGCAAGCGCTTCGCCGGGAATGGACGAAAATACCGAAGGCCATAATTCGTGCCAAAGGCGATCAATTCGAAAAAATCTAAACTTATTCTAAAATTTGATGCTATTTCCGACATGTTTTGCTTTCATTCAAAAAAAATTAAAAACGACATTTTTTGCTTTCAATAAAATAAAAAATGCTAAAAATTCATTCAATAAAATATTCTAAAATTTAATGCTATTTCCGACATTTTTTGCTTTCATTCAATAAATTTTCAAAAAAAAAGAAAAAATAAAAATTATGGCGTTTGACTTTGTTACAGTTTTTTATCTCACCCCTTAATGATGACGCTTTTTACCCGCAAATGATCGAAATGATTTTTTTTTCAACTCCATGGCAACCCTGTGCATAATTGGCAGTTATTAAAATGATCCGAAGCAACCATAATCAGAATATCTTTACTACTCCTTTACAACCTTTCACTTCATCCTTTGCCAAAATTTTCACTTCATCCCGCAACGATCAGCAGTTGATGAAACCGAAAACGAAAAGATCACACGATCATCATTTCTCATGATCATTGTCCAACTTCATTATCGGCAACAACAACAACCACACCATCTCGAATATGCACATCTTTTATTGTTAGTTTTGTTGAATACCATTTCACTTGTTTCGTCGGACTGGCTGGCTGTCTGACTGGTTAGCTGGGTATTTTGAAAAATTCCCACAGATCCTTGGCATACAACAAATAGTAGCCGAATATCTTTGCTGTTCTTGTTGGCATTGCAACTGACTGGCTGACGCACCGACCGACAGTCTGACAGTCTGACGACTGGTTCGGTCATTTAACCTTTGCAATGCTGCTGTTATCTTTACTCTGCTTAACTGACTCACTCTATATATCTCTCTTCCCATCTCTCTCTCCCTCTCTCTTTTTTCTCTCTGCGAGTCAAACAAGTGTATTTTAGTGTGTCACACACAGGTCCTTATGCTTGGCTGAACTGTTCAAATTCTCCTTGTTGATATTTGTTATTGT